TCACCCAGTTCCAAAGCTACTTGCGAATTTTTTGGTATTTGTTTCACCAACGATCCATCTCTTAGTACCAAAATCTGCAGCAGTTTTCTTGGATTGCCTTAACAAAATACCTTAGACTGGGTATCTTAAGCAACAGAAATTTATTTCTCACAGTTCTGGAGGCTAGAAAGTCCAAGATCAAGGGGCCAGCTGATTCAATTCCTGGTGAGGGCTTTCTTCCTGGCTTACAGATGGCTACCTTCTTACTGTATCCTCACTTGGTAGGGACAGAGTTCTGCTATCTCTTCTTCTTATGAGGGCACCAGCCCTATCAGATTATGACTTCACTTAACCTTTATCACCTCCTCACAGGCCCTATCTCCAAATATAATAATATTGGAGGTTAAGGCTTCAATATATGAATGGGGGTTAGACACAATTAAGTTCATAGCAATGAGTCTTAAATTGCTTATGTATATATATACATATATACACACACACTGAGGGTTTTAAGTTGACCCTTAAACAACATAAGCTTGAACTACATGGGTCCTCATATGGATCTTTTTCAATGAGACACAGATAGAAAATGCAGGATGTGAAACCCGCATATACAGTGGGCCAAGTTTTCATATAGGTGGGTTCCTAAGGGCCAAGTGAGGAACTTGATTATGCACAGATTTTGGTACATGCAGGGGTCCTGGAACCAATCCCCCAAGTATACTGAGGGATAACTGTAATACTTTTTTTTTTTTAACCAAGTTTCACGAAAATGTTCCTATTATTCAAAGCATGATTTTTAATAAATGCATAATATTCTACCTTAATGACTACTATTTTTTACTGCTGTTTAACTATTAAGTCATTTTGAAATTTTGCTACTTAAATAATTCTGCAGTGAACATCTTTGTACATATATCTTTGTCTGCTGTGATGACTGAGGATAAATTTCCAGAAATTCAGCTGCTGAGTCAAAGTCTATTACTATTCAAAGACTTGGTACATATTGATAAACTGCTTCCCAGAAACCTGTAAGAATGTATACCCCCACCTGAACACAGACTATAATTAGAATAAACTTTTTTTATAAATAAAAAAAGATCTATGTCATAAATGACCAAAAAGGCACAGATTTTTTTTTTTTTTTTTTTTTGGTGAGACAGAGTCTCACTCTGTTACCCAGGCTGGGGTACAATGGCATGATCACAGCTCACTGCAGCCTCCATCTCCCCAGGCTCAGGTGATCCTCCTGGCTCTGTCTCCCAAGTAGCTGGGACTATAGGTATGCAACACCATGCCTGGCTAATTTTTGTATTTTTTTGTAGATATGAGGTTTTGCCATGTTGCCCAGGTTGGTCTAGAACTCCTGGGCTCAAGTGATCCACCCATCTCCACCTTGCAGAGTCCTAGGATTACAGGAGTGAGTCACAGTGCCTGGCCAGATTTTTTTATTATTATATTAAAGATTTGGCCAGGCGTGGTGGCTCATGTCTGTAATCCTAGCACTTTTGGAGGGTGAGGTGGGCAGATCACTGGAGGTCAGGAGTTCAAGAACAGCCTGGCCAACATAGTGAAACCCTGTCTCTACTAAAAATACAAAAAAACTTAGCTGGGAGTGGTGGCATGGCCTGTAGTCCCAGCTACTTGGGAGGCTGAGGCATGAGAATTGCTTGAACCCGGTAGGCAAAGCTTACAATGAGCCAAGATCATGACACTGCACTCCAGCCTGGATGATGGAGCAAGACTCCTTCTTAAGAAAGGAAAGAAAGAAAAAAGAGAAAAGAGAAAAGTGAAAACAGAAAAGGATAGGAAAAGGAAAGGAGAAGAAAAAAGGAAAAGGAAGGGAAAGGAAAGGAAAGAAGGAAGAAAAGAAAAGAACAAAGAAAAGAAAAGAGGGAAGGAAGAAAAGAAGGTAGGTTAAAGAGGACAATAAATGAAATGTATGGTTATTGATTAGATCATGGCGGGGGAGGGCTATAAAAGTATATCAAAGAGATATCTGCGCTCCTATGTTTGTTGCAGCACTGTTCACAACAGGCAAGATTTGGAAGCAGCCTAAGCTTCCATCAGCAGATGAATGGAAAAGGAAAATGTGGTACATAAACACAATGGAGTACTATTTATCCATAAAAAAGATGAGATCCTGTCATTTGCAACAATATGGATGGAACTGGAGGACATTATGTTGAATGAAATAAGCCAGGCAGAGAAAGACAAACTTCACATGTTCTCACTCATTTGTGGGAGCTAAAAATTAAAACAATTGAATTCGTGGAGACAGAGAATAGAAAGATAATTACCAGAGGCTGGGAAGGGGAGTTAGGGGTGGGAGGAGATTAGGGATGGTTAATGGGTACAAAATATTGTTACCTAGAATGAGTAAGATCTAGTATTTGCTAGCACAATAGGGTGACTATGGTCAACAATAATTTATTACACATTTTTAAATAACTAAAAGAGTATAACTGGAATATTTGTAACACAAAGAAATGATAAATGCTTGAGGTGATGGATACCCCATTTATCTCGATGTGATTATTACACATTGTATGCCTGTATCAAAATACTCATGTGTTCCATAAATACCTACTAGGTACCCATAAAAATTAAAAATTAAATAAAATTTTTTAAAATACAAAAAAAAGCTTTCAAAATATTTTGGGGGACAATTAGGGAGTTCTTAATATAGACTGTATTATAGACAATATTACTGTATCAGTCTTAAATTTCTTGATTGTGATCATGGTATTTCAGTTATGTTGACTTTCCTAGCTCTTAGCAGAAACATACTGATGTGTTATAGCGTGTGCAGCTTATATTCAAATGATTCATAAAATACTTGTATTTTTGTGTATGTATGTATGGAGACAGAGACAGAGCAACATGAGAGAAAAATAAGAGGGGGATGAGGGAAAGAGCAAATCTGGTAAAATGCTTGTCACTGAACCTAGTAAAGGGTAATGAGTGCTCTTGGTACTATTCTTTCAACTTTTCTATAGGTTTTATTTCTCAAAATAAAAATATATGAGGAAGCAGGCAAAAGACAAGAATGGCTTATTCATAGAAAAATAACATAGCCTGTAAACATATGAAAAATATATGGGAATAAAGTTGCTTGATTATTTAAGGTTTTTTATTTCCTCCTGCCCTCTTGGCATTTGTGCTTTAATCACTTCAATTGCATTTCATCATTGAGACCTGGAAGGAGTAGGAAGTGAAATCTCAATCATTACATTTTGCTTCTCATTAGCAGTCCTGGAAAAAGGTTTAAAAGATTAAATCAATCAAAATGAACTCATTACAATGAGTTTTGAAAAGGACCTGTAAACCTGAAAACCTGGTTTTCAATTCAGATTCTTCTGACCTTAAATGTTTGGCCCTAAATAGCGAAAAAGAAAAGTTAGTAATAAATCATATGAAAAATAGGTTTTCTTTAAATAAAGAAAAAAAAATGTTCACCTCTACCATTGGCCTTTACTTTTATCAGGAAAGTGGGCCTATAAAATGTACCAAATTGAAGGCAACCAACGGATTCACAAACCATGGACAGAGGTTTTCCTTTTCAGAAACAATATGAAGGAAGCAATAACACAGTGGTTCACACAGAGGTAGGGGCTACTAAGTCAGGTTTTCTGTGTTTGAATATTTACTTCACCAGTTACTAGCTATGTGATTTGTGGCGAATTACTCAATCTATTTATGCTTCAGTTTCCTGATCTCAAAAATGGGAACAACAGTAAAATCTGTCTTAGGGGTGTTGTGAAGTTTAAAAAAGTTAGAATACTTAAGGTCTCAGAATGGCATCTGGCATACTGTAAGACCTCAATAGTGTTAGCTGCTATGATTTGTTTGTTTTGAAACACAGTCTTGCTCTGTTGCCCAGGCTGCAGTGCAGTGGCACAATCATGGCTCACCACAGCCTCGATTTCCCAGGCTCAAGTCATCCTCCCACTTCAGCCTCCCAAGTATCTGGGACTACAGGGATGTGCCACCACACCTGGTTAATTTTTTTTTTTTTTTTTTTTCTGTAGAAATGAGATCTCAGTATGATGCCAAGGCTGGTCTCAAACTCCTGGGCTCAAGCAATCCTCCTGCCTCAGCCTCCCAAAGTGCTGGGAACCATGCCTAGCCTACAGTTCTTATTATTGCTAATATTACAACAACAAATGATACAATCATTACCATCATCTTCAACTTACAGTTGATGGAGTTTGGCATGAGATTCAGAAAAAACAGAGTAACATAAAAGTATCACAATCCCCCCCTACACACACACACACACACACACACACACACGTACACACATCACAGGTTGGAAAAGTGAAATAGATCAGACTCTAAGTCAGTCCTTTAGTGTCCCAAGCTGTTTTGAGGGAAACTGAGAAGGTAACAATATACCAAAAATGTATGGCTCATTTCAAGACATAATCTGTGTGATCTTAACAAATCAATCTCAGGAGAAATAAGTCAATCATTTATCAAATTTTATTGAGGTGTACTATGCATCAGGTGTTGAGTCAAATGCAAAGAACAGAAAATGGAACAATGTCTGTGTCTTTTAAAACTTTGTGTTCATGTCAACGAAATATATGTATGTCATATGATGGATGTGCACACGGAACAACGGAAGCACACAGGAGAGACCTAAGTTAGACTTGGGGGAAGCAGAAAACAGCACAAAGATTACCCAGAGTGATGATATTTAAGCTGAGCCTTAAATAATAATAACAGGTAAACAGGGATAGAGGGGGTCAAATCATTCCTTCAGGGGTAGAAGCTAGCAAATGTAGAAAAAAAGATGAACCCTATTCCCTGCCTATAGCCATACAAAACCAAAAAACTTCTGCCTAAAGCTAAAAGACAGATAGCCATCAGAGGAAGGCACCTGAACAGATGTGCTTCAGGAATAGCTTCTGTTTACACACATGACATCCCCACCCTCCCCAGCTCAGAATAACCCATATTCGGAGAAGCAACAGAAAGCTACAATTAAGAGATTCGTAGACAAGTTTCTCACTTACAACACTGGGCGGCAGCAGTGGGCAATGGCTTCCTCTGGCTTTCTTCTTGACTAGAATACTAGAAGCAGAAAGGAGAAAATAAATAAATAAATACAATCAGAAGCCCAAGTAAAGAAAGGGAAAAAATCACAGCTACCTATAAAAAAGTTTAGTGTTTGGAGACAAAATTTTTATTGAACAGAAACAGAACATCCTGCTCCTATTTTCTCTGTGTGATCCTGACATATAGGCCAGACTATTGGTTATGGCCCTGGCCAAGTGAGACAGGCTAAATACAGCAGGATAATGGAGAACTGTCCTGACCAAGGGCGCCTGGGCACCCACTCAGCTCTGCCAGGCAGCTGTAGAAGGTTTGGCCTTAGAATCCTTAGAATATTTCACAGTCCTCTGAGTTTTCCTGGAGCTAATGTATAGGAGATTTCCCTATTCAGGTGATGCAAGTGACAACCTATCTGGGGTTGTTTTCTCATTTTTAAATAATAGTGCTTCTTTGCTCATAAGGTCACATGGGAAGTAAGTGGAACTGCTTACCTAAGCATGTGGTGCAGTATCTGGTATCTACAAGAGTTCCTCTCCCACTAGCACTGTAACCTCTGCCATCCCACTCACCATGACCACCACAAAAACAAGTACATGGTACTGAAGACATAAGAAAATGTTCCATAAAAGGAAAATAATTATGTCCAAATCTTGAGGATGGGCCTGATTTAGAAGGCAAAACAGAAAGAGAAAGGCACAAACAAATCAACAGAGTCTGGAAGACAGTGAGGATAGTCTGGTTCAGAGTCCATTGGAGAATTAGAAAAATGTATCTTCGGCCGGGCACGGTGGCTCATGCCTGTAATACTAGCACTTTGGGAGGCCAAGGCAGGTGGATCACCTGAGGTCAGGAGTTCGAGACCAGCCTGACCAACATGGAGAAACCCCGTCTCTACTAAAAATACGAAACTAGCCAGGTGTGGTGGCACATGCCTGTAATCCCAGCTACTAGGGAGGCTGAGGCAGAAGAATCGCTTGAACCTGGGAGGCGGAGGTTGCCGTGAGCCGAGATCATGCCATTGCACTCCAGCCTGGGCAACAAGAGCGAGACGCTGTCCCAGAAAAAAAAAAGAAAAGAAAAATGTATCTTGGCCAGCAACTTGCAAACATGAAATTTGGAGTTCTCATCCTGACCTGGTCACTTATTCATAAGCTATGAGATCCAAGGCAAGTCAGAGCTTCTCTAAAACTGTCAATGAACGAGTTACTTATTAACTCAACAAATATTGATTGAGTATCCACTATGTGCAAAGCCTTGTTCTAGGCACTGGGAAAACAGAATTTGTAAATCATGGTAAGAATTCGAACTTTTCTAGTGTGCTGAGAAGCCCTTTTGGGTTTTAAGCATGAGAGGATTATGATTTGATTATACTTTTAAAAGATCTGGCTGCTGTATGAGATGAACTGTAGGGAACACAAGGGGAAATAGAGTAATTATTGCAACAATCCAGAAAAAAGTTAATGGTGTTGTACAAAACATTATGAGTATCAGTAGTTAAGAGCATTTCAAATGGTTGGGATCCAAAATACAAAACATTTTTTGTATATAAATATACTTGATAAGCAATAAAGTATGGTACAAATGTCAAAGGTAGATACTGTTATTACTAATTTCCACGGAGAATAAGAAAAGTCAAGCACAGTGTAAACAATATGATAGCACTAGCAAAACTGCGAATCACAAAAATGTTCAAAACATCTTTTTTTAGACAGATTCTCGCTCTTACGCCCAGGCTGGAGCGCTGTGGAGTTATTTTGGCTCACTGCAACCTTCGCCTCCCGGGTTCAAGCAATTCTCGTGCCTCAGCCTCCCGAGTAGCTGGGATTACAGGCGTGAGCCACCACACATGGCTAATTTTTGTATTTTTAGTAGAGATGTGGTTTCACCATGTTGGCCAGGCTGGTTTTGAACTCCTGACCTCAGGTGATCTGCCTGCTTCAGCCTCCCAAAGTGCTGGGATTACAGGTGTGAACCACTGTGCCCAGCCAAGTTCAAAACATCTTGAAGGTCAAACACCCACTCCAAAGTAACAAAAGAACTTGGTTATAAATAATAACCACTACAAATAATTATGATTTTTATAAACAGTACATAGACATAACCATGAGGAATCCCAAAATTTTAAGTATTAAGAAGAATTCAGACCTAAGAGATCAGAGTAGACATTTTCAGAAGCTATATTTAATGAATCTGTTCCAGGCCCAAAACACAAAGCTTAAGTCCAACTAGAGTATAATTAATAATGTTAAGATGGCTAAGAAAAAAGCTACAAAATCTATCTACAAAAAACAGACAAGGATAGTAGAAGAAAGGAAAATTATAGGCCAATTTCAGTTATGAATATAGAGACAAAAATCCTAATTAATAGATTACGAGGCCAAATCTGTCATATAAGTGTGTGTAATATTCATATGTGAATATGTATGTATATGTGTGCATACGTATGTATGTTAGCATATAAATGTACATATATCCTGTCCAGGTGAATATTAAATGCTAGGCCAGTTCCATATCTGAAAATCTACTCATGTAATTCACCATATTAAACAGATTAAAGGAGAAAAACCATGTGATCTAATAGATGCAGAAAAAGATTTGATAAAACCCCATACTTTTTCATGACAAAAATGCTTAGAGAATAAAAAAGAAAATAGAATTTCTTTAATCTGATAAAGAGTATCTACCAAAATCAGTGGCAAACAGCATACTTTAAAACTTATAAAGCAGTCCCCTTACAGTCAGAAGACGGACAAGGCTCTCCACTCTTACAATGTTAAAAATTATACTAGATGTCTTAGTCATTGAATGTTTTAAATAAAAGGTCATGAGAAACAAGAAAAGTCTGAGAAAATATCACAACCAAGAGAAGCCTAAGGAGACATGACAACTAAGTGTAATGCAATATCCTGGATGAGATCCAATAACAAAAACAAAAAAGACACAAGGTAAAAACTAAGGAAATCTGAATAAACTATGGAATTTTAGCTATTTTTTTAGCTAACAATAAAACAAATAAAAAATACTCTTTAGCTAATAATAATGTATCAATATTAGTTCATTAACTGTAACAAATGTATCATACTAATGAAACTGCCTTTGCAAAAATCATAACTAAGGAAAGTATGACAGAGAAAGAAATCAGACCTAACCAGTTCCATCTTGCTTCTAATCTTTAAGCTGTCCTTGTTCATTCCTGGGCATAGGCTGAACTAACTTGATAATAGCCCTTTTCCAAAAAGAACCCCTTCTTGCCTGGGGACCACTCTGCCTTTGCAGGACTAACAAATTAGCTACAAGATTAGAAATCACTTTAGGGGTCATGCAGCCTCTGGCTCCAAGAGTGTCCAAGAGTCTGAACCTCACCAAATTGCTCCTGGGAATAACATCACTATTATAAAACCTAAGATCAGTGCTTGGGATATCTTGCAGACCCTGCACTAGATGGATCAGCTGACACTACCCGTCTGGCCCAACCAGTTCTGCCATCCCACCCAGGAACAGAAGACAGCAAGAAAAACTCACTTCTACCTGCTATCATTCCATCTCCAACCTAATCAATCAGCATTCCCCACTTCCCAAACCCCTATCTGCCAAATTATCTTTAAAAACTCTGATGCCTGAATGCCCCAGGAGACTGATTTGAGTAATAATAAAACTGCAGTCTCCTGCACAGCTGGCTCTGGGTGAATTACTCTTTCTCCACTGCACCTCCCCTGTCTTCATAAATCACTTCTGTCTAGGCAGCACATAAGGTGAACCCGTTGGGCAGTTACACTAATGTAAGATGTTAATAATAAGGGAAATTATAAGATGGGGTGGGGGAGGGGATGAATATCTGCTCAACATTTCTGTAAATCTAAAACGTCTAAAAAATGAAGTCTGTTAATAAAAATATATGTATAAACAGGCCTGGCACAATGGCTCATACCTGTAATCCCAGCACTTTGGGAGGTCAAGGTGGGCCAATCACCTGAGGTCAGAAGTTCAAGACCAGCCTGGTCAACATGGTGAAACCCCATCTCTATTGAAAATACAAAAATTAGCCAGGCATGGTAGCACATGCCTGTAACCCCAGCTACTTGGGAGGCTGAGGCAGGAGAATCGCTTGAGCCCAGGAAGTGGAGACTGCAGTGAGCCAAGATCGTGCCACTGCACTCCAGCCTGGGTGAAAGAGTAAGAATCTAAGAAAAAAATATATATTTTTTATATATTTATATAAAATGTATAAACAATTCAAGCATGTAGAAACATAAAGCGTAAGGACTGCAAGGAGAATAAAAACTGTAATTTAAAGATGCAAAACCTAGTTACATAGAAAATCTAAGGGAATCTCTAAACTATTAGAACTATTAGGGGTTGATGAGTAAGATCAATACTTTAAAAAGATGAGTAGCAAAGCATTTACTTATAATAGTAATGTGATAACCAACTAGATAGTGTAATTTTTAGAATGTACCATTTGCAACAATTAGGAAAAAAAAATCTAACAAAAGTAGTATAACACTTACGTGGAGAAAAAATATCTTCCCCCCTGCTATAGCCTGAAAATTTGTATCCCACCACCCCTGCCCCCACCAAAAATTCACCTGTGTGATGATACTAGGAGGTAGGGCCTTTGGGAGATGATTAGGTCATGAGGGTGGAGCCTTCATGAATGGCATAAGCACCCTTAAAAAAGAGGCTCCAGAGAGCATGCTTCCATCACATGAGAATACAGCAAGGTGCTGTCTATGAACCAGGAAATGGGCCCTTACCGGACAATGAATGTGCCGGTGCCTTGATCTTGGACTTCCCAGTCTCCAGAACTATAAGAAATAAGTCTCTGCTGTTTATAACCTATCCAGTTTGCATTTTTATAGCAATCCAAATAGACTAAGACATCCCCTATAGCACTTCTCAGCTTCTAATACTCAACTATATTTATTATATTTCTTGCTTACTGTCTGATTCTGCCTATGTGATCCATGAGGGCAGGGATCTTCAACCTCCGATGGATATTAAACACAGAATAGTGCACG